ACAGAAACGTTTTTTTTCTGAGACATTGTTTTTAACAAGTTGAAACTCCCTTCACAGTTTGTTAGTATGAATGAATGGTTGCCAGTTTTTTGGCCACAAGCTAGTAGGACAAAAGATGATGAAAAAAGGCTTGGGCAAAGAGAGTTGCGAAGAGGAAAAAAATTCAAAATCTCAAATTCTCGTTTCAACATTTTGCAGTAGCTCTCAAAATCTCAAATTGTACTTTTCTGGATTTCTGCGCACTGAATGGCTGAATGTTCAAAAACTGTCAACAGGATGCCCTACCCTTACATTTGCAGAAATGGCAAAGCTTCGAAGATTGCCTTCTTCGAAGAGATCTATGGGTCATAGAATCACCGCAATGGCCATCCTTCTTGGGCCCCGATATCTCAGCCAAGATAATTTTGAGGAGAATAGTTAAGCGCGTGTAATGCCGTTAAGCGGCATATCTCACATCGCTCTTTAACCGCATTATCGTAGACGGACAGTTGCCGCGAATCTGGACTACGAGTGTTACAGTCTCTATCTGGAAGGAAAAGGGCGACGTCAGCGACTGTTCAACATATCGACCAATACGCTTGCTATGCCACACGATGAAGATCTTCGAACGAGTCATCGACGCACGCATTCGAAGTATAGTGGAGGTCACCCCGAATCAATGCGGCTTTGTAAAAGGATCTGGCACCATCAACGCCATCCACGCGGTACGATTGCTAATGGAAAGGCACTTGGAGAAACGGATTCCGATTCATTTCGCATTCCTGGATTTAGAAAAGGCATTTGATCGGATACCACACGGGCTGATCTGGTATGCGCTGAGACAACACGACGTCCCAGAAGAGTACGTTCGCTGGATCAAACTCCTCTATACGAACACGACGGGCGCCATACGCTGTACAGTGGGAACGTCAATGCCATTCCCAATCCAAGTCGGAGTACACCAAGGATAGGCTCTATCACCGCTTCTCTTTATACTGTGCATGGACACGGTGACCAAGGACATCCAGCTGCCGCATCCGTGGACGCTCCTTTACGCAGACGACGTCGAGCTAGCAAGCGAATCGAGACAAGAGCTTGAAGAGGCGACTGTGAGATAGAAGACACGATTAGCGGAATATGGCCTACGACTGAACCTAGCAAAGACCGAGTACCTGGAATGCGGAGAGCAAACCGATGGCACAATTAGCATCGATGGGCAGCCGCTGAAGAAGGTCACGACGTTCAAATACCTGGGCTCCCGAGTGACGTCGGATTGCGACACGATCACTGATGCTCGTGCTAGGACGAACGCGGCGTGGCTAAAATGGCGGCAAGTAACAGGAGTACTCTGCGACCGACGAATCCCGTTGTATCTCAAGTCGAAAGTGTATCGGACTGTGGTGAGGCCAGTCGCACTGTATGGAGCCGAATGTTGGCCAGCAACAAGAAAACACGAGCAGATCCTGAGCACGATGGAGACGCGAATGATAAGATGGATACTTGGCCTAACGAGAAGAAATTGCGTCACGAACGATGATGTACGACACATTTTCGGAGTTGCCCTATCGCGGATAGGATGCGAGGTGCCAGATTACGATGGTATGGTCATGTTTTACGAAGTGAAGATAATACAGTAGCAAAAACAGCACTTCGTCTAAATCCACAGGGGAAGAGACCACGTGGCCGTCCGAAGCAACGCTGGTTGGACACCATTCGAAACGACCTGCACATTGCAAAGCTCAAACCACAAGAAGCAGCTGATCGAGTCAAATGGAAGCAAAAATGCACCACCGCCGACCCTGCACCCGCGGGACAATGGCGAAGATAAAGAAGAAGAAGAAGAAGAAGTTAAGCGCGTGTAATGTAGACAATTACTGTTGCATACAATTGCTGAATTTTTTTAAAGGTGCTTTTTTTCGTGTTTGAATTATGGCCAGAAAAGTGAATGCAATTTGATTTTGATTGCAGTCATTTGAAGCTCTGTAATTTTTTTGACAGATGAGGCTGGAAGGCCGCTTCAGCCATATTGGAAGTGCATAGAAAAAGCTTCTCACTGGTTTAAACTGTTTCAAAGAAGAAATTTGGTAGAAAAAAGTAGTTTTGAAAATACTCTTTACTTTGGAAAAGGTTGAAAAAAAGCCATTATGTTTGAATCAACTCAATATATCGAGGTAATTTGAAGCAAATCAAATTTATGCATCAGTGAATAAACTGGTAACCAAAAATCACACATAATCTACGCGATCTACCATTTTCATTGTTTACCGTAGAAAAAAGTGCAAGCTTCCTTAATGCCGCAGGTGAATGATAAGTGTGGAAAATTCAAGTAATATAAGATCAGCTGCAGGCGAGCCTTCAAGATCTCAGAGATACCTCGCGCGACTTCAATCGAAGCGCGGATTGGCGATCTGCCAGGGCCGATAGTAATCTACCCTACCTGGTGGCATCATAGATGCCGGCAAGTTGGCACACATCGCGGAAAGATGCCAACTCCGCCGGCAGCTCGCGGAGTGATTGTAGGTTTCAATAATCCTATGTAACCTTGGCACGCAATCATTTCGCACATTAAGTTTTGATGACGCAGACAGCCGCAAAATGCTACCTTGCGCGCGGTCGAACCTATGTGCGTTGGCTTGAAGTGCCACCACGTTAACCATTCGACCATTCGATCAGCCATTGCCTTTTGCACCAGCAACAGGAGGAACGCACTGGTGAATGGCTGCCTATAAAAGGGATCGATACATTGCGTGAGAGACTTTGACCTGAAAGAACAGCTGATTGATATGAGCGAGAGAGGAGCGAAATCGGTGCAAACTGAGATTTATAAGGGATTGCCAAAACAGTTCGTGTTCTATATGATTCTAAGGCATTAGTGGATTTTTTCTCTGTAAGAAAATCGTCATTTTAAAAAAGAAAAACCCATATAATGAGAAAAATGATAGTTTTTTCATGAAAAGTAGAATTTTTGATTTTTTCGCCTGACGTAAATTGTGTGATATCGCCGCAATTCGCAAACTCGCAAACGCCGTCGGCAAAGGTGCCACCACCTCGACGTGGTAGGGGCACGTCGAGATGCCGGCAGCTCGCTCTCTCAAAAGAGCACGCTATTTCCCGTGCTCTCTGACCTGCCGGCAGCTGCCATCTCGCGGATTCCGGCAACCTGCCGGCAGGTTGCCGGCAACTGACATCGCGAAGTTGCCGGCAGCTCCTCCTGGAATTCCAGATATTTTACTAAAGGAGGAGTTCTGGAGCCGCAGATTTTTATGAAGTTTTCTACAGAGTCGAGGCGGCAACTTTATCGAGAAAATTTTTTGAAAAAATGCCTGGGACGGCCTAAATTTCGGTTCTTAGTTTCTGGCCACCTCGCGGAAAGGTGCCAGCAACCTGCCGACGAGACCTGCCGCCAGGTCGGGGGGATTACTACCGGCCCAGATGTCTTCAACTCCAGAACTCGCAGACTATGAATGTAGATTGATGGAATTTGTAGATTGATGAATGACCTTATTATGTTCAAAAAGCGCTTACGATAAGTTATGAACAATTGGAATATTGCCATCGCTTATTGACTGAAATAGCGTAAGGTATGTTCGGGGTCCCAAATATTCCCAACATAATAACACAATAATGAGTCTAGTGAATCAATCTATTAAGCAAATGTGATCCTGTAAGCCTTTGAACCATAGCTTGAAACCGTAAGCCCCTCTCACTGTTAAGAATATTTTATAGAATCATTAAAACTAATTTTGTTTTTGATATCTTCCCTTTATTTGTGCCTCAAGCTTCAAATGATTTTGTTTGATTTTCAAAAATACATGTAAAACTCTAGAAAAATTTTTGAGGAAGATGTTTTAGTTGAGTTGTTCAAAATTTGCTTGTGCATTTGCAAACAATATTCTCTTTGCTGCATTCGGCTGCCTAATAATTATTAATATTTTATTTGATTTTTTGGTCACAAATATAATTTGGTCTACTTTTTGTTTTTCTGTACTTTGAAGATCAAGGAAAATAATTATTAGAGAGCAGAGTGGACATTGTGCAAATCAGCCAACGAGTTCTAAAATTTGTAACCCAACTGCTTGTTTCGTATAATAAAACATGCTAGATTCTCAAAGGTGATAATGAATGGGCAGGGGGGACAGGGGAGACATGAAATTTCCATCAACGCCTTAATACAAGAGCGAATTTGAAGAAAAGTTTGCTTTTGCAATTTGATTGAAATCAAACATCACGTTTCCAGCGCTTGCTGAAAGAGATCGTTGATCTACGGTATGTGTAAGCTACCGTTATACCACACCAAGGCCCTGGGCATACCTCACGCAATTTCAGCTGCGACGCGATGGCAATGCTTCAACTGTTGATTTCATTTTTATTTAATTCATCGTAAGATGTTTTTGAATGTACGGAAGATAAGGCATTTCAACAACCTACGAAAGTTATACCTGCTGTGCATTTGGGGTCTGCCAGCATTGATTTTGAAGACATCTGGCAAATTGCCAAGTAGAGCAGCGACTGAAATCGCGTGAAGTATGCCCGACTCAGGCAAAAACGAGATGAGACTCGCTCTGTCGCAACGCAACGTAGCAAAAAGCGGCATTTTTTCTTTGCCTAACAGGAAGGGTGGAAAGTAAAATTGCAGTACTTTAGAGGGCCGGGCATACTTCGTGCGATTTCAGTAGCGAGCGATTTGGCATCATTCCAACTGCCCATAACGCTTTGTAAGCACATTTTGAATGTACAGAAAATAGGGCATTTTATCAATCCTCGTAAGTTATACACACTATGCACATGTAGATTGCTCGTGTTGGATCTGAACACGTCTGGCGAATTGCCAGATTGTGTCGCGACTAAGGTCGCGTGAAGTATGCCCGGCCCTTATGGGCATTGCGGCAAAAACAATGAACGATGTCTGCGCAAATAATCTGCTTGCATTCTTTCCAGTTCCATTGTCAAGTATTTTTCGATTTGTCTGCGTCATATGTACTCCTTCGTTGCTCAATTTTTTCAAATTTTACAGTAGCTATATGCGTTACGAAGTAGAGCAAGATCTATTGTCGTGGGAACACTTTGTATTCGCTGCAGCGACTATAATTACTGTACCACTATATCTGCTAATACTGTGGGTTATTTGGTGGAGACCGAAGCTAACTCTCTTCCATGTTCTGATGCTATCACAAGTGAGTTTGAATTTCTTCTTGTGGAGCTGCCTTGCGCACTAAGTAAAACGCATTGCGGTCGTTCTGGTGTCTCTTCTCATTCTGCGCACTCTCGTCGCTCTCGTCGTCTACGTCTCTTTCAAGCAAGAGCTCTCTCGGATGGGGGGCAGTGCGTTTTTCTACGCGTTGCTCATCTAAACCATTGAATTATTCCCTTCATATCCGTGATTTTGAATAAAGCATTAACAACCAAATTTGTATCTAAATTATTAAATCATCATGATTTTAGGGCATAGCTGATATCATCTTCTTACTCAGCTACAACTTCTTCGTTACACTTCGTCTCACTATGATATGTTATAACTTCTTCTGGCGATATAGACGATTTCTTGCCAACGTATCTTTTTTACACACATATTTTTCAACATATCTTAGATGTATAGGCATTACACTGATATCGTTGCAAAGATATATTACCGTGTGTCAATATGGAACAAAAATTGATGCTGTGAGTTATCAACTTGTATCCGCTGCTGTATACGCTGTTATATGAGAATTAGCTTTTTTTCGTAGATTTCGAGAATGAAATTCTTACTGTGAGAGATCTTATATCCAACAGGAAGAGCTTTTCAAAAGCTTGCCATAGCGGCGCGACTCTGATTGGTCCACATGGACGGCGATTGGCCAAGCTTTGTGCAACGCGGAAAACACGTGACATCCACTAGCAGAGTAATTGCGTTAAATAATGAAAAAGCATTGATTGATCTCCTTCGCAAAACTGTGTCGTTAAAGTAATTCATCTGTCCAGACTCAAATGGGGACTTTAATGATAAGCTTGCTACTATCGAAGTATATATGAAATTCAACCAGCAGAATTTTTGGCGCAAACGTAAATTTTAGTCAAAACACATTTAAAAGCTTTACGTGGAAAATTTCATGAGTATCATACGAAAAGTAAATATAGTAACTCAACTGTCAACTATGAGTTCAGTCACTGAATTTGTACGATTGAGGCTTCACTAGGCTTGCCTGCGTTTGACTCTTTGACTCCCCATTCCTCCTCCTTCTTTTAATTCATTGACGACGACGCTTAATTTTGCGTAGCGGCGCTGTGGGACGACGCGATATTGCACTATACCCATGGTGTAGGAAAGTTTTGTGGTTATTTACGAAATGCAAGGTTGTTTCGTAAACAGCCACAAACATTTTTCTTGAACAACGAAGCCTACAGATCTCTAGAGTGCAAAAAATTGGAAAAAAATACTGATATGTGGAAAAATTACTAGACCTGCACGTGATATGACTTTGCAAGAGGTGTGGGGAAATCAGTGGCTTATTCACTAAACGCTTCACTTCATTAGAGTGATGATTCTAAACTTTTTTAAAAAATTTCCAGAAGCTTTCTCATTTGCATAAAATTCAACTTGCAGATAATGACGGAAATTCCAGTTGCTGTATTCGTAATAGTTCACTGGTTCAGTGCTCTTCTAGTGACTGCACCTCTTCTTACCTCATTCGATGCTACTTACCTTCCGGATATGAACTCGGATATTCCAACGGACGACTTATCGGTAATCGTCGTTTTTTTTCAAAATGTCGAGACAAAAATATGCATAGCATAAAAAAGCACGCTTTTAAGTCTTTTATGGATCTTTTATGGAAAGCTTTCGCGGATCATTGAGTGTCATACAGTAGAGCTGGGTTCAACTTAGATTCACAGTATAGAGCGAATCACCGATTTATCTTAGTTACTGTAGTATTACGGTAGGAATTTGGACTATTTTTAAGCTTCCGACAGGCGAGAACTGCTTCTAAAAAATTCCAAAAAACCGAAGGACATTAAAGTGTGGTTTTCGGGGATGCTGACTCTGATTACGAAGTTTTACGCTACCGTAATCCTCGTCTTTCTACGACATGCGCACTGTAAGCTTTGGATAATGCGAAAGTTTGACGACGTGTTTGTAATTGCAACGTTAATTTAGTGAGTTCTGGAAAAAAGAAAAAGGTTTAGAGTTCCTGTGCTCATACCGTAGGAAAATGAAAACTACGGTAGCGGAAAACTCTGTGATCAGATTCAGCATCCCCGAAAACCTCACTTTAACATCCTTCGGTTTTTGGAATTTTTTAGAAGCAGTTCTCGCCTGTCAAAAGCTTAAAATTACTCCAAGTTCCTACCGTAATCCTACAGTAGCTAAGAGTAATAGGTGATTCGCTCCATACGGTAAATCTAAGTTAAGCCCAGCTCTACGGTATGACACTCAATATTTCGCGAAAGCTTCCATATATGGAAGTTATTAAAGATCAACATTCGCATTTTTTGGGACACTCTGTAGAACTTGGAAACCGGCTCCAAAACTACATTTACACGGCATGATTTTTGATGATTACATGTTTGAGCAATTTTTAAGAATAAAATTCATCTAATTTTCATAGTTCAGCTTGCCAACTTGATCTCAGTCATCTCTGTTGTAGTACTATTTGTAATCTGTGCATTTTGCTATGTTCTCGTACTCTTGCATATGCTACGAAGCAAAGTGTCTGTGAATACGTAAGTCTGTTTATTTATCAATTTGTCATATTGTTTGTTTATTATGTTATAAGGATGTCCCAAGATAATTTAAACATTGTTTGATCTTAAAAACTCGCTTGCTGCGCATCTTTCGTCAATCTTTAGGTAACATTCTGTAGAGCTGGGTTCAGCTCAAATTTGCGATATGGGAAGCATTTCCAATCTTTCTTCGTTACTGTAGGATTACGGTAGGACCTTTGAAGAAGGTTTTGAAGGCAGCGGCTCGGCAGAATGACAACTTTGGGATATTCATCGTTCTCGGTTCCCCTGGATGAGTTAAGTCCAAGGCTGTTTGCAGCTTCAAAAGCTATCAATAACCCGCTTTTCCAGACGTGAAAAGTTTTATTTGAGCGGACCGCGTATGCCTGCTCTCCAGAGCGCGATTGGCTCGTGGGTACGGTAGGTACGGTGTCTCCACTCACGAGCCAATCGCGCTCTAGTGAGCAGGCATACGCGGTCCGCCCAAGTAGCACTTTTCACATCTGGAAAAGCGGGTTATCGATATCTTTCAAAGCTGCAAAGCACAGTCTTGGGCTTAGCTCATCCAAGGAACCGAGAAGATGAATATCGCAAATTTGTCATTCTGCCGGACACATATGCTTCAGAAAGAAAGCCAAATAAGCCGAAAAATCTCATGTCACAGTGATGACTTGACTCCGTTGACTCCATATATAAAATTTGCACACCATGGAACGAATTGCTGCTTTTTTCGTAAGTTACTTGAGAAAAAAACAAAAACAATTGCTTTCCCAGAATTAATCAAAAATGCGAACACCTTAAAAAAAACCCAGAAGTCTTGTTAAAAGTTGCGCAATGAAAGTTTTCCGAATTTTTGGAACTTTTCAATCGAACGGCCTAATTCACAATGGCGCTGTAAGCAGAATTTTCACACCGTAACACAGTAGCGAAAAGAGATTCGGAGTCTTGCTATTGAAATTCTAAGTTGGAACAAGTTCTAAGAATGATAATTGAAGATTGGCGAAAAACTTCGAAGCAAACGAGTTAAAGGTCAAATTGCGAATTAAAGGTCTACCCAGTTGCAGATATCGAATCGAATATATAGATTTGTTCAGAACTAAACAGAACGAGATACGCCTCAGTATTCAAGTTGCTGGTTTAATGATTGCATTCGTATTGGTTTTTATTTATAATGTTGGTCAATATATAATTCTTCAAAGTGAAATGGTAGGTTGAGTTGCCGAAAAACAGAAAATAACTTTTCTTCGCTTACCGTTTTGACGAATAAGACAAAGCTTTGCTTATGAAAAATCTAGAAACAAGATGTCTTGTACTTAAGCTATTGAACAAAGTGTTATAATTGCCAAAACTCATAGAATTCAAGGTTTTTTGTTGATAGTAATCAATTGGCACCTTTACAGGGTGTTTGTTTAGGTCAACAATGCTGTTCGACGAAAAATTTTGATTGTTGCAAAAATTCATAATTTTTTAACGATTTGGAGATGTCGATAGTATATTGTTTTGAGAAAACACTTTTGAAATTTAGTACGTGAATTCACATCAATATCAGCTTTTAAAGAGTATCAGCAAGAATATTTCAAATATATGACGTCGCACAATCAGATTCATATTTCAGACTAGCGTCCTTGCAAACTGGAGAAAGTTCAACCCAATAATGAACGGTTTTCTGTCTTGCGTTCAACCCTGGACCTGCTTATTTTTCAACAAGGACATACAGTCAAGGCTGAAGAAGATTTTTGGTTATCGCAGAAGAGAAGCGGTAAAAGTAGACATTGAATAATTTATCTACGTGATAATTTCTTTATTTTAGAGGCAAAGCAGTGTGTTCAAGTCCCCAACATCAGTAGCGCCATTCATAAAGCGCTGAATGCTCTTAGAGTTCTGTTTCTCAAGTCTACTTCGACGCCTACGTATAAATTATTTTTTGTATGATACTTATGTATATTTGACTTATTGTATGAAGAGAATACTTGCTACATGCCAACATATCCAAAGGCTACTGCATGACGAAGGCGCGAAGCAGTATTAGTTGAACGGGCGCAAACGCGGCGCCCGCGTAACCTCATCGTAAATTCCGCGCCTCATGCGCTCTAAGGCTAATAAAGCCGCGTTTGCGCCCAAAGATATTGCGCCTTCGTCAAGCAGTAAATATACTTTACAAAATCAATACCTATATAATATTTGGATAAGCATTTTTTTAATGACCGGCCCGAAATGGTACGAAGAATCATGGAATTTGGATGAAACTTTGCACACATGAACTTTGAGGTGGCCCGGGTGTCACTAAGCTTTTTCACCGAAAATCACCGCGTGGCGCTATCGATTTATCGATTACTTGGCGTTTTTCGCTTTGCAATTTCGTTATGACGCTAGAAAACTTCAATAAATTTGAACGAAATTTTCCACACATAAACTTCTCCGGGGGGAGGGGGGGGGGTGCTAAGCTTTTTCACGAAAAATCATCAATTGGAGCTATAGATTTATTGATTTTTTGCATTTTTGCTTGGTAGTTTTGCTATGACCAGGTCAAAATGCTAGGAAGGATCATGAAATTTGAACGAAAAGGCAGTGGCTCGGCAGAATGACAACTTTGGGATACTCATCGTTCTCTGTTCTCCTGGATGAGATAAGTCCAAGACTGTGCTTTGCAAAAGATATCAATAACCCGCTTTTCCAGACGTGAAAAAGGCTATTTGAGGGCGGACCGCGTATCAGCCCTCTAGAGCGCGATTGGCTCATGGGTATTGGGTACAGTAGTAGTCCACTCATGAGCCAATCGCGCTCTTAAGAGACATTTGCGTTCCGTCCTCAAATAGCGCTTTTCACGTCTGAAAAAGCGGGTTATTGATATCCTCTAAAGCTGCAAAGCACTGTCTTGGACTTAGCTCATCCAGGAGAACCGAGAACGATGAATATCCCAAAGTTGTCATTCTGCCGAGCCGCTCCTTCAACCCATTGACGACGACGCCCAATTCTGCGTGGCGGCGCTGTGGGACGATGCGATTTTGCACAACACTTTTCGGCGTGGGAAAGTTTTGTGATTATCTACGATATTCAAAGTTGTTTTGTAAACAACTACAATCATCTTCTTGGACGACTAAGTCCACAGGATCTAAAACTGCAAAAAACTGGAAGAAGTATGAACTGTGGAAAAAATACTAGACCTGGAAAGCTTACGATTTTGCAAGGGCTGTGGGCCTGCGGTGGTCCACATCGTTGTCAATGGGTTAAATCGAAGTAATTCGTGCAAAATGGCAAATTTTCTGCAAAATTTCACCTTTCTGCACTAAGCAGAAGTTTCATGTTAAGTCCACGTATTATTTGATAACCAGACGAATCTGCCGCGTAGCGGCAGAGAGCGGCTGATAAGAATATAAAATGATGGATACTCGACATTTCCAAAATAATCTTCACACTCAAATTTAAGAGTAGAGTAATGGTGAAGCTAAAAGTCATTCTCACAGTTAAAGAGAACAAGTTACATTCGAGAAGAAGTGTATCACTATACGCGATTTGAACGCTGACAAATCAGCTTTCTCTTTCACAGAACAACTCTCCGAAAAAAGTCATGAGCGTTTGAAAGTTGATTGATTTTGTCAAGAGAAAAAACTGGAGAAAGGCTATATAAAAATACTTAAAGGCACCGTCCACCCAAATTTTCGACCTAGTTCCTGCCGTTCCAGAGCCTTCTCATACCCCTGATTCCGAATATCAAGTCGAGCATGCGCGAAAACCACGCAAAACCCCCATTTTCAGAACCCGCAGAGCGAACCCTCGGAACGTGATTGGTTGGGCGCGCACGGATGGGCGGACGTCACGTCCACTCAAAAGGGAAGAGCCAATGTGGCGAATCTGTCAACCGAGCGATTTTCGAAGCAATTTTCTAGCTTCGGAAGCATTTTTGCCAGCGCTAGATGGATATAGTGCGTAAGTATACAGATGGGGGCCCCCACTACTATTAGGCATCAAAATCTCATCGACCCTATTTTGGGTGAACGGTGCCTAGCAGAAGAAGCAACGTCTTCACTTATGGACCCGCCATACTTCGCCGAGAAAAACCCAGAAGCGCCTAAAAAAGCCCAAAAGCGCTCAAAAAAGCCCGAAAAGCCCGAAAGCGCAAAAAAGAGCCGGAACGCGGAAACAAACTTTTGGTGGAATTCTGACACTATCTGTGCAGACAACAGAAAATGAACAAAAAAAGACTCGGTTACGAAATCATCACACATGCCTTAGTGCCAAAACGTGCGCGCGGAAGGGGTTGTTTCGGCTCTCTCTGGCGTTTTAAGCTTTTTGGACTTTTTGAGGCTTTTGGACCTTTTTCGGCGCTTTTGGGCTTTTCTCGGCGGAGTATGACGTGTCCCTTATCGTTCATTCTGCGACTAAGAGAATTAGAACTTTGCTTTGCTGCATAAAACAAACAAATAAATCTGATTTCTATGCTGCCACGTTGCAAATACTCTTAGTCAAGGTACTTAAATCACCGTTTTTGTTATCACGCAATCATCTCCAACGTGCAAAGCGTTCGCTTGTCTCGTTATAAAATGAAAAGTGCTTAGTGACCTAGCGTTTTTATGACGGGCGCATCGCGCTAAGCTAGGAAGGTTAACGTACCTTTTGCGTGGTGCGTATGGCGACTTCTCAAGTAATAGCAGGAAACTCTGAATCTGCATATGAAACTCGGGGTTTCGAAAACGACTAAGGGTTGATTCCGCATTCAAAGCGGCAATTGTGTGTACTTTCTAAGCGGAGTGACTGTATTTTTCGTTTCCGCATTGTAAGATTATCCAAGATATTTAACAGTCATAGAGCTAGAATTGGAATCTCAAATAAGGGTGCTAACTAAATTTTGTAGCAATTTTTTGAAAATAATTCTACTCTTTTTGAGTGTGGGGCATTAGCTTTGACAACTGTGATCGTAATGCGTGCTACAACTGCGCACAAACCGTTTAATTGTTGAACACGAAATAAAAAAAATATTAGGCGCTTTCTGGAAACTTACAAATTTCAAAGATTTTATGGGGTACAGGCAAATTTAAAGTCATTTGCATTTTAAGTCAGCAGTGATCCGAAATTGTATACGATTAGCAACTAGTGGTTGACTTATTTCTCATCAAAAAGAAATAGAATTTAGAGGCAAGCAGAGACCTGGCACTCTCATATGAACGAGACAACATTTAATGACTAAGTCGCAATCTCAGAATCACCGAGGCGCCCAAAATAATGTTCGACCTGCACAGCACAAATACCATATCCATCTGTTGAGTCGATGCCTTTTTCTTGTGGGTAAAAGCGTATACCGTAAGCCTACAGTAATTTTATAAAAAACTCCTAACATGCAATTTCAGTTATGTACAGTTTTATTCATTTCGGATAACGCTCTCCGACAAGTTTCAGCCAAATCTGTGGAGAATCATAGTACTGCTCTTTATGTCATATACTTGCCGTAACCCTCACCGCGACTTCAAAATCTCAGAACAGTAGCTCCGCTTCGCATACCCATAACGAGGGCTCGGCACGAGGTGGCTAGATGAAAATGGAAAAAACGAAGTCCCCCTTGACTTTTAGGAATTTTTACGAAGTCCCCTTTGACTCTCAACCAAATTTCCTCTAAAACCTGAAAAATTCCCCAAAATCCCTTAAAAAACGAAACGTCGACTAAAAAAAAGGTCGCCGTCGCCAATTTTCCGTGTCTCTTCGGTCACAAAAACGAAACTTCCTTTGCTTTTCGTCCCAAAAAACGATACCAGCTGGCTTACAAGCCACCTGTGCCGAGCCGTGCCCATAATCAGGGTCAAGCAGGTGTGGCAGTGTGGCAGGTGTGGCACGCTATACCTGAGAGTTGTTTTGAGGGTTTGAGGAAAAGGGGGGGGGGAGGAGTTGACGTGATACGGATGTTAGGGGATAACTGTCATATAAGCCCATTACGCAAATTTGAAGCCATTGTGGTGTTTTGACCTGAAATCGTATATGTACAGCAAGCGTACTAAGGACGCCCGAAAACACAATTGGCATCAATCTCGTAACTAGCACGTCGTAGCTAGCCCTCCTAAACCAAGTTTTAGCGGATTTTTGAAATTTTGGGCTACTTACAAGGGAAGGATACCAACATTAGTTGGCAATTGAAGATGAGGTGTATGTCATTAGATGCGCCTTTGAACGCTGATTCCAAATCTGCTTTTCTTTTTTGCGGAATAAGTTTTCGAAAGAAGTTATGA